ATATTGTGAGGATTTTGGGGTAACATATTGGTACTTACCTTCAGGTGCATATCAACGTGCCTTTGTAGTTGAGCTGGAAGTATTTTGTTATCTTCCTTGGATGGACCTGCTAAAGTGGGAGATGAAATGTCCAGTTTCATTTTTGATCAACTCAGTTTCAAAATTAAAGCCAGCTGCTGAGTTTAGGAAGGCATGAGTATACATGGCCTCTAATTCTGTGCTGAATCCTGTGAAACCAACTTCATTTTCTGGTTAACATGCCAGTAGTAGCAACTTCTTGTTATTATTTGCATCCCTTGCCAGGTTCAGTTCCAGCTTCATCTTGGCCTTCCTCACCCCATCCCTACACAACCGAACTTCATCTCTACTCTCTCCAGGTTACCTGTTCTTGTCTCTGCCCTGTGCATTTGCTTTTTTCCCTTTAGTTGGACTGGCAGTTCCCGACTCAGCCTCAGCTATGCCAGACTTTTGCCTTTCTTGCCCGATACCTTGGTCCTGGGGATTGCTGGGCTGTTGGCCTTTTTGCCTTCCTAGAAGAACATCCCTTAATTCCTTTGAGATATTTCCCCAGTGTTTCCCTGTGACTCCTGTAACCTCAGGACTTGTCTCCTTAAGACTGCAAGTGTGCTACAGTGTGGCTAGCGTATTTCAGAGTCATTGGCAGAGGACTCTTGCTAATATCCTGTCCCTCTAACTATCTGCTTGCATATCATCCCACAGTTTGCCAGGGGTAAGCCTGGTACTCTCACCCTCCCCCCTCGCACCTAGTTTAAAGCTCTGTCAATGAGCCCTGCTAGTTCCTGAGCAAATAATCTCCTCCCTCACTGAGAAAGGTGGGCCCTGTCTCATGCCACAACACCTGGTGCTGTGTAGGCCATTTCATTGCCAAAAGCCCTCAGATTTTGGTGGTGCCACCAGCCGTGGAGCTACAGACTCAGTCTGTCTGTTTCTTTGACCTTAACTGTCCCTGGAGAGGAGACTCTCACCTGTGGCCCAGGTTGCTAAGCGTCTGAGGCCCTGAAGTCCTTTTTGATTGCCTTCAGACTGCCTGCTGCCACTTCATCACTCCTTGCGTGGGAGATCAATAACAGGTAGTAGTCCAAAGGCTGCACCAGGTTGGGAAGTTTCCTAGTGATGTCCTTAACTCAGGGAGGCACCAGAGCACGTCCTGGTTGCCATATTGGTCCCTCTGTTCCCCTTAGAAGGGAATTGCTTACAGCTATAGCCGGTTAAACTCTGCTGCAGTCTTCTTGAAGGTGAATGAGAGTTTTGCTTCCTTAATTCTCATCAGTATTACCAGAGTTCTCAGGTTTTTAAGCTCCTCACATAGCAGTGGGAGCCCTGGCTGTGCTGTGTGCCAGTACAAGTGCAGGCAGTGTAGTGATTTTGGATGCACAGTGTGGTGATCTTGGAGCTAGCTGTACGGGCGCTGACATTGCAATTTGGCTTGTAACATCAGTATCTTCATTTGCTTTATTTTGAAGCTTATCCAGACAACCAGGAACTCACCTTTCTCCCCCCTCTGGCATCATTTTACTGGGATAGGGCCTGTTTTGAAACACTGGTCTGTTCCTTTGAGGGCTCCTGTTCCTGTGAGATTACCTGTCTGCTTACACAGTGCATGCATGTGAATGGAGGTCGATCATTGCTTTCACCAAGGCAGATTAAGTCTTCTTCGATGTGATTTAGCAAATGCATATGGATGAGACTCTGTTCTGGGAAAAGGCTGTTCTGACAGCAGCTTGTTTTGAAAAAAAACATGAAGAAATGAAGTAGTGATCTTCATTTATTGTAAACATATCCTCTTCTCTTTTGCTCTACTTTTGTCCTAAACTATAGTCTAATCTATCCCTGTAAATCCCAGAATTTATGTAGTCCTTTATTTTTTCAAACTGTTTGTATACCTCTGCACATTGTTGAATTGCCACTGTACTCCATCCTTTGATTTTAGTAAAACTACTTGTTAAACTTCTGGAAGTTTATGCAGCTTTTGTGTTCAGGCATGGATTCTTCCAGGACATTTTTACTAGAAAAGTAAGCACTGTTTTATCTTTTTCCAGTTGCTGAAACCATGGTTTAAATATGAATGGCAGCACTTTCCTGAGAGCATGGGTTCGCAGAGGCAGCATTCTGATTAGAAATGAGGATTTCTGACTTCTTACCATGTGCTTAGGTCACTAACCCCACTGCCTTGTTGTAAAGAGTGGGATAGCTTCTAGATGGAGTATCTATTCTGTTTTTCCAATACCAAACTGCTGCTTAACATCTGTGGGCTATTGACTGCAGTTGGGCTTTCTGCATCAGCTTTGTAAGACTGTTTCTGTTATACACCAGTTGCTCAACTAGCTGCTTTAGTAGAGTCTTCTTGCATATTTATTTACAGGCTATAAAATACTTAAGGATCAACAGTTCTACATTTACTTAGGCTAGCTATTACTAATAGAAGGAAATGAAAGACTAACATAGTTCTTCTTAGGAAAAGAGTTATCTTTTATTTTAGGAATAAGCAAGCTGAGCACAGTAATCCAATGAGCTGTTGAAGTGACAAAATATTTCTAAGAACATTTTACGTTCCCTACCCTAAACTTCCCATCTTGTTCTTAAATCAGTACAACACATTTTCCTTAGAAGACAAAATCAAACAGACCGTGATTTTACTGTAAAGCTGCTATTAACACTTTGGCAGAAACATGATTTGAATAAGAAACAACATTTAAAATGTCAGAGAGGAAAAGAAAACTCAAAAGAGCTGTTTTAATGCTATCAGCTCTTGACCTCTTCCCTCCTGACATCATTTGTGGGATATCAAAGGCAGGCATTTCTTTCCACTGAAAGGTTCACCCAGCCCACACTGGACTATGCCAATATGATAAGGTGGATAGCTATTTAAAAAAATTGTAGCATGCTGTTTCTCTCACATGAGTCCTGCTCTCTTCTTAGCATGTGAACCTTGGATCCTAGGACTATTTTTCTGAGTAATCTCAAGTGTGCAAAATCAGCCCTCAGGCTTGCAGATTTTGTGTTGATTCACAATATACACAGGTGGGCTGTAACTAATGCAAAATGGATTGAATTCCATAGAATCCATGGTGGAAGTTATGTTACACTGAGTTAAATCAGCTGAGCCACTTCTGGGAGCACTCAGATTTATTTAGTACAGTAGGGAGATGTTGTGACTCAGATTTAAGATATTTGCCTGTAGAGACAGGGAGTTTCTAACTGCTTCACACAACATCACTATTTTATGTT